GGTCTCCACGTGTCTCCAGGGCAGCTATGTCTTCTTCCCAGAAATGACAATTTAAACATATAATTCCAAGAAGTAGGAATTCATTCACCCCTCCTCCCCCGTAGAAAATGGTGAAGATAGCCCAAGGCAGTTTGTTGCTGTTTATATGCTGCCTATTTTTGGCTCCCGTTCCAAGATGCCTAGCTCTCATGCATTTAGTGGAGACCCTGGGTGACCGATGCAGGGCCTCGGTACCATTCGGAGGGGTGACTGCTTAAAAATTAGGCATACGGTAGTTAACTGGTAGATGACCAACTCCTGGAATATTTAAAATGAGGGTTCTGTTCTTATTTGCCATGCTGAACTTACTGTAAAATGACCTGTAATAAAATCCTTTTTACTAATTTCATTATAACAAAGTAAGAATCCCAGGACCCGAAGAATTGGGTCAGTGTACATTGAGAGGTAAGATAACATTTTCCCTAATCCATCAGTGAATCTGTTGAAACTCTGATTAAGGGACTGTAATTGCCTATATAAGGATGCAAAGAAAGATACTATATTAACCACTGAAATAAAAATGTGATACCAGCACTTGGTATCACATGAAGGTGGACTGGGCCCAGTAGGGAACCATGGGTTCCTTGTGCACTTTTATCACAACAGTGGGTCCACTGCACTTCTGTTGTTGTCATGGAACAAACCGCAGTAATAAGTGCAGGGCAATATCTAGAATGCCTTGAGCTAAGAAGTGCGAGCCGATAGAGAGAATTTAAATAAGAAAGCAGACATAATGGACTCTGGCAGAAGGGACAGAAATCTCTAGTATCCCCTTGGAGCTACAGCTGCTCCTATTTGCTCTAGAGATTTTGACTTCTCTGAATAGGCTGCTACCTGGCAGAAACAATCCTACCCACACATTGCTTGTATTTCTGGAAATTATTCGGTAAATTCTGTAGATTAAAGCAGCAGTCTTCATGTTTACTTCTTCCTTCCACTGCGTATCGAAGGCAATGGTGTGCCTAAAAAGACATAGGTGTGCTTTCTGACAGAAAATTGCTCTTTCCTCAGGCAAAACTCTCACAGGAGGCCTTGGTGAGGCAAAAGTACTTCCTCAGCAAGGAGAGTAAGGGAAAGTTGACTGCAATTACTCATTGCAGTGTTCAGGGTCATGGAAACCAGAAATGCATTTTGATTGTGTTGGTGGTGGGTTCTTTATGAGGCATACATGTTTTCAGGGATTTTTTTGGTGTCATGCTTATTTTCTGATGATAGAATTACCTCATTCAAGGTGTTAAAAATGAATGATTAAATTTATTTATACAATGTAATATGATTACAGGTATATGATTATCTTCCATTAAATTATGCACAAAATCATATCATTTATGCTAATAAATCTAAAGCTTTTTCTTTTCTTAGAAGATTTTAAGGTACACATGGAAGCTATCAGTTTTAAACTACTTTCACTGGAGAAAGCCAGTTCTCTTGTTTATTGTCATAAAAATAATTTTGTCAAAAAATAAGTTAAGGCAAAATGGCATATAAAGGATTTCTTTTTTTGCATGATTAAGTCACACACTATATTTTCTATTCCTTGTGGAGATAGGTGCTTTGATAATAAGTACAGTTCACATTTTAATATTCCAGAATGATATTTTAAAACAATCTGAAATACTGTGCTAAATGCAACAAAAAGGGATCGTTTAAATGATTAAGTTCTTTGAATTTCTGAGTCCCAAGTGCTCAGAACTTTGTGTCACTTCCAGGCCTAACGTTTCTTCTCCTGGAATTCCAGATAGTAGCAGTCGGCTGAAACATGAGTTCAGTTACCAAATATAGATGAGTGGGGTAAGAATTACATAGTCACAGAGGACAGATGCAACTCACAGGCTACAGTCTTCTCGATGCTTACTGAGGACCAGGCAATCTTTAGTGAATAGCTGGAGCAGCTTTAGGCTTTCTTGGACAAAGAAGGAAGCAAGCAGCTTAACCTGCCATTAGTAATATTTGAGACTCTTCATGCTGGCCTCTTCATTATAAGGTCTGTTTTATGTTTTCTGTTAAAGTTAATTTATTGTACTTGGGGGAGTGATTGCGTAGGACTTCAAAATCGAGGGGAAAATGAGTACCTTTTTGTTTTAAAAATCTTACTAGAAAAATGTCTTCCTTCGTATTACTACTTTGAACAGGTTGGCTTTAGGTTGTTACCTTTTAGGCAATAATTTTTCTTTACACAGCTTCCCCAAATTCAGGATGCTTATACTTTTCTTGAAATTAAACCTTTGATTTTCTATTGATGCCTTAATTTGATGAATTATTCAAATGCCTTTTAAGACGGTTGTAACCCTAATCCAGTACATTTTGAATTGATTATTTACCGTAGTAATTATTTGAGCATCTATATTATTTTTGTGAATATTAAAATAATTTGATTGTGTTTACTTATAACTTTTTAATATATAGAAAATTGGACCACATGAATAGTTTATACATAATAATACTGAAGTAAAGCTAAATACTCTTGTCTGCATGCAATATTGTATGTTATGTTTGTGTCTTTAAATGATATGGTATATGGCTTTGCACATTACCTAGTGAGTAATGATGATGAGACCTGTTATAAATATGCTGTAGTCTAACGCAGAGAAGCCAGAAATAGCATTAGATATTTCTCATTATGTTCCTATATGCTACTTGATAGGGTTAGCGATATTTTTTCCTCTACTTAGCTGTAATTACAAGTTGCTCTAAAGGAATGGTGATTTTCTATATTACAATGCGACTGGAAAAAAAAGTCTTTGTACTGAAAGCTTCCATTCAGTAATGTCTATGATTGTATGTCTAAAGCTGGACACACAATTAATTTTTAGGCACCAGACCTATCTCACTGAAAGAGCTGATCAGCACTAGAGATTGCCAATAATTAGCACATGTTTAAATCCTTTGACTTTATCTAAGTACCCAGCTATAGATTATTTTGCCTAAATTAAGACACTGGGCTTTGAAAATTATAACATAACTTAGCTATCATCTTTTTTCTAGCAAGCAACAAAACAGCATAAGACTCAGTACTAGAAAGCAAAGTGCTCATTCATAATATTTTCATTTTAATCATCCAGTCATGGTGAATGGTAACAGGTCAAATTGTCCTTCAACCCACAAGCTACTGAAACAGCACCAAGTGGAAATCAGGGAAGTTTATCTGAACATGGAATATATCACTGAAATTTGAGCAAGCTAGGAACCAATATGAATCAGATTTAAATAAAGGTATCAGCTGAAGCACAGATATTTACAGCAATGTTATCTAAATAATAAACTAGCATCTTTGTTTATTTGAATGCAAAGTTTTATAAAAATAAATAAGATTATGGAGACAGAAACTCTCCAGGTTTAACTCTTTGTTTCCTGGCATTCATCCAGTTTATGCCCTAACAGCTGAGCCTCTAGACCAACTGTTTGCTTGGCTTCTCAGATTCATTCTGTAAAGTTGCTTGTGGTAGTCAGTTCTACTGTGTATACTTTTTTAGATTTTGTTGACAATAGATTGGCATGGTTGCTAGATTTGCTGCCCTGTAAACACTTTAAAAAGAAAAGAAAGATGTAATCACAGCAAAGCCTCAGCCTATCTGTAAAATCACTTCATATCCTAGAGCATTTTGGTTTCCTAATACTTCTCTTTTATGTGATGAGTTGTAATCTGTTGGCAAGACATACAAAGGTATCAAGAAATGCATGTGCTAGGCCAAGAATTCAAATAATCTATCAGTCAGTTAATAACTACATACTGGGTAAGCCCCAGTGAAGTGACTAAAGGTAATTGGAGCTTGCGAACTGATGTAAAATACATCCGATTGCATCTCATGACTGTCAAGCCATCTATCTATCACTGAGGAAATACTTTGGAGTATTAAGTGAAAAAGATAATATTTTTTAAAATCTGCTTCTGCAGAATTAATCTCATAGAAGTTATTACAATAAGAACAGAATCATCAAGGATAATTGAAAACACTGATATTCAACTTAATTAAAATGCTTTGCAAAAGCAGCAATTACTTTTAAGACCAGATTATCCACAATCTAATGGCCAGTAAATGAATAAATTTCAATAAATGGAGTTTCAGGCAGATCCTTCCCTTGGGACAAGAGATGTCTTGTCTCTGATGTCTAGTTTCTTGCTAGCTTTGTGGAGGCAGACAACTCTCACCCTCATTTTAAAATTATGTGAGGAGAAACTGGTGGGCACACATATGCTTCTGTACCTTATGAAGATAGTACAAAATACACCTTGTACACTCATATGGTACAGGATGATACATACATCATGAAGTCTATTTCTTCAGTGCTGTACACTTAGCACATGGTAGTTTGGTATTCTACTCCTCAGTGTTTAGAAGAATGCTACTAAATCGTATCTAAAGGTCACAAAAAAGTTAAGATTAACACAGAAAGTAAAATATTGTGAAATGCGTTGTCACCATTAATCAGGATAACCTGAGAATTTTAGTTCAAACATCCTTGGCGCTTATAAACATGTTGATTCTTGTAATGGTTTCAACTAGCACAGTATTTTCCTCTTGGAATTTGATGGCTTAGTAGCTAATAATCTGGAAAGCGATGTCACGCGAAAGAGAAACGTAAATATATTCTCAAAATCATTATAAGCCTAAACACAGAAAAGCAAAGTGTGATAGCAGTGATGTGAAGTAATAAATCACTTGGATCAGTCAAGCAGAACTGAGCTTGTGCTAGCCAGCATATAGACAAAGGATCTGTTTATAGGTCTGAATGGTGCGTGAGAAAATTCACTGTTAAAGAGTTCTCACTTCCACCTAGATAACTTGCAGCTCTGGCCCATTCTAAATAGAAACCAAGGTTCACAGGAAGTATTCCATATACCACTAGACCTCTGCTTGTCTCCCTGTTCTGTGTCCTGTTTTATAGGAACTAGGATGTAACAAGCCTTTTTTTTTTTTTTTAATTGAGAAGATTAAGGAATTGTATTTGTGTCTTCCAGCATGCAAGACAGAAGCTGTGGTCAGGCATTACCTCTTTCCTTAATGCTGAAGGAGGCTTACTGTGCAAAGAGAGGCACCAATGAAGGATACCGTGAAAATATATCAGAAGCTTTTTCCTCCCATGACTTTTTCTCTGATTCTCTATCAGACATACAGGATGGGGAATTTTCAAATGAACTCTCTGCCTTCCTCACCCAGGAAGAGATATGTAAGAGCCTTGACATAGCTCAGAAAGCCATTGCCAATTCTGTAAAGGAGGATCAGAAGGCAGCACCAGAATTCACTCCTTATTTCAACACCTCTCTTTCTAGCCCTTCAGAAAAGGCTTCTTTCAGAGAGACCAAAACACACAAGCAAGATGCTTTATGGAGGCCTCAAGCAAGCAGCCTGACTTCATCTGCTGCAGCTCACGTTCTCCGAGAGAATCAGAAGGAGCTGCCCATGTCACCGCAAACAGCAACTGGTTTCGTTACAATCTCCAGGAAGCAAGCGAGCGCCTCACCTTTACTAACTGCTAGTCCAAGCTTTATTCGAAGCCTGAAGCATTCAGAGAAACGTGATCCAAGTGTGCCCAAGACAATCCCAAAATCTAAATTAGCATCCCAGGGAGAAGTTTCTTTCAGAGACAAGCTGTGTGACAAAGCTGCCACATTCATTGAGGAGCTGTCAACTATATTTAGAGAAGCAGCAAAGACGAGAGGCCGAAGTCCTGATGGAGACTCTTCTTCTCCGGACAGCGGATACCTATCTCCTAAGAAGAAACAATCAGCTATGATAAGTACCTCAGTGAACCAGGATTTTGACATGCCGCATCAGGGGACTGAGCCTGAGGCAAAATTACCTGGAGTTCATCTCAATGGAAAACACTTTTCTGAGAAGAGCAGCATCACTCAGAGTGAAACAGTCCTTTGCCAACCCTTCATCAGCATAGATGAGAATCAATCTTCAGCACCTCGATTCACTCAGAAGCTCCGTAGCCAGGAAGTTGCTGAAGGAACCAAAGTACTGCTGGAATGCAGAGTTGCTGGCAACCCAGACCCTGATGTCAGGTAAGTGCATGCCTTTTAACAAAAGGTCACAGACACTGGACATCATCTTGTGATTTATCACAGTGGACCTGCTTAGAGGTACGGTACAGAAGCGTTCTGGTAGTTGGTTGTGCGAGAACTGCAGATCAAGCAGTGGTTAAAAAGTGCATGAAATGACAGATTCTGACCTCTTCCATTCTCTACAGCGTTCCATTGGTTTCTGCTTGGGAAAGAGCCACCCTGCAGAAACAGAACTGGCTCTAACAGTGTTCTGTGTGACTGATATCTCATTAATCTAAAGGAAAAAATTCAGTTTGCCCCTGAAAAGCATGCATCAAGCTTAGAGGTATTTGTTTTCGCTGTCAATTAATTAGAATGTCTCCCCAAGCACATACCAATGGAATTTGGTGTCTGTAATATGAGATAACCTAAAATTTTCTAAATATAGCAGATATCCTCTCGTGTGGGGCATTTCCAGAAGATGTGAAGAGGTCCCTGTTTCAAAACTTCTTTTGATACTCTGCAGTGAAATTTATGTGCATCTGATTCTGTTTGATTACAAAACACTAAGTGTTTTTTTTAGGTTCTTTGTTAACAAGTGTTTACAACAGTTATAAAAAATACATTTGCAGTACCAGAGAGGGTTGAATAACTCATGATAGTTTCCACTGCCTTCCTTTTCTTCTAAAACTAGTAGAAATTCAGGTAACCAGCGCTACATGGGCAGAATTTGCACATTACAGGTCTGAGCCTTAATGCTAATATGATTGCTTAACGTGCACAGAGGTAAACCATACCTCTGGTTTTAATAGTTCCTTTCAACCTATTCCTATTTGAGGTCAACTAGTATATTTGATATCTGGTGATAAAGTTTCCTCCACAAAGAATTTGTAGTTCCCTGTTCAGAACTTTTTGTAAAGATTCTTTAGTTCTGAAGACTAAATAATTGTTCAAAATTTTTCAGTGTTTACTGAAAGGAATGTAGCAGTCACTTTCCCATAGCACTTGTCTCACTTTGAATTTCCTCATATCTTTTGTTGTAAAGTCTTTCAACATTCTAAAGTTACTACTGTTGCATATTAAATTGCTCCTAATTGCTTGCTTATACGGTTACTTGTATAGGCCTTGTGGCTATGCAAGCATAGGAATTTATGTCCATCACTGAACAGTGTCTTCATACATACCATAACTGAACTTACTCTTTGAGATCAGCCTTTAAAAAGGGCACAGAGGGAATAAACAGAGCTGTGAGTTTGAAAAGATTGGGTCTTTATCAACAAGATTAAGAGAGTACAGCTTCTTTGAAAAATCACGTTATGCTTTTATGTGCTTTCGTTCCAAGGCAATAAAGGTGAAAAGTTACTTTGTAGAAAACATCTCAAAAGACTCTTGTTGGTGACTGCTGAAGACAGTATTGCCTTTACCCTTATCTGAATCTCCAATGAAAATGCATCCCAGACAAGCTAAATATTGAGCAACTGAAATTTTTTCAGAGTCAAAAGATCATTTATAGAGACTTAAATGTGTTCTGTTGTTCTTATCTACAAAGTGGGAAGAGTGGTACCTCAACACCTTGGTTATGTGCTCAGGCTAAAAGCTTAGACCTCCCTCCACGCTGAGGTCATCTGATCTCCTAAGCCAAGACAAGTCGTGGATCTAAATACTCTAAATAATGGAATTTCATCATGAGAGTTGCAAACAGGTCATTCCACCCCCCACCCCCCCCAAACTTTAGAACTTAGTCTTAAAAGCAGCAGTTTCATTAATGTATTAAAGCATTTTCCAGCGCAAGGGCCCCTGGTAGGGCAACTATGACTAATGTGGGTTTTACAAGGAGGAGGAGCTACTGTGAATACTGGCAAGGAAAACTGAAAAATGGAAACATTCTCCACATAATAGAAAGATCTGTTTCAAGAAGAGGAACAAAAATGAAAAAGTATATACTGCATTGAAATTTAATTTTCTTCTTACCATCCTGACATAGTTTTACATGCAAAAGACCTTCAGTTGTTCATTCTCCTTCAAACCTTCTTGAAGCAGGCAAGAGAAACAATTGTAGAAAAAAAAAAAATCCAGTCACAAAAGCCAGGGGATCCTCCCTCCTGTGCTTTCTCTCCTAGATTCTGCCTTCCCCCCCTCACCAAGACTTTCCAGCCTGCCAGTACATTTTCAAAATTGATGGTACTGATAAGTACTCCAGGGCAACACAAGCTTTAAATTATCACTCATTTTTTTGTTGTTGGGTTAGATAACATCATAGCTAATATATTGCTACTGATATTTTTGAGCTGTAAAATAGGGTAGTAGCAACAAGCAGAAGGACTGCCTTTAAGGAAAAAAATTATTATAAAAAGATCTTTTCACCTTCAGCCTGACCAAGTCATCCTAGACTATCTGCAGTCAAGGGAGAGAAGCGTGTCTACCAACAGCCATTTCACATGGTTGTTACATTGACGACAGAAGGAAATTAAGGCAACTGCTTTCAATTAAACACTTCATTATTAGATGGTTATAATAGGTGAGGTGAATCCCACCCATTCACCCATCTGTTTGCCAACAGACAGTACAGGGAAAGA